AGAAGCTCAGAAAAGCAGGGAGAGGCTTGGATCTCAATTTCTCTCACTCAAAAGTCTAGGACAATGATGGGCAAACCATGACCTACAAGCCCAATCTGGCCCACTGTCTTTTTTCTGTTGTTATTTTAAGTAGGTTTTATTGGAACATTACCACACTCATTCATGGACCTATTTTCCATGATTGCTTTCATGAGACAAAATCAAAGCTGAGTAGATGTAATGCCAAAAAATTTTACTGTCTGGCTTCTTACAGAAAATGTTTGGGACTCCTGGTCTTGTGTATGGATCATTTCAGGGAAAGTACTTGGTGGCCTCTTTATTTTAGGGAAATAAAAATTCCTCCATTCCTCCTCTCCACTTACTGTATCTTCTCTCCTGGGTTTATTTTTTTTCTTCTTAGTGCTTCCAATATGTCACTCGCTATTCATTTTTATTATATATGTTGTTTATTTTCTATGACTCACACTACATAGCTCCGTGTGGGAGGAGGTTTTAATTTGTGCTGACTCCTAAATCCCTAGAACCTTGAACAGTACCAGGTGCATGGTGGGCACTCTGTGAATAGTTGTTGCATGTATAAACTCTGAGTTCACTGAAGAGATTGGTTAGCCAAACAATGATGGAAACTTCCTCTTTCATGGAAGATTTTAGGGTTTGCGAGGGACCAGGTAGTCCCCAACCCCTTTGAGGAAGGAACTATTTTTATGTGCTATAAAGGAACAATGGGGCCCGTTGTCTTTTTCTGTTGTTACGTCAGTGCCTCTCAAACTTTAACTCTGGTTAAGTCAGTGCTACTCAAACTTTAATGTGAAAAGGAATCACTTGGGGATCTTGTCATTTTGCAGGTTTTATTTCAAGAGGGCTGAGCTGAGGTCTTAAATGCTGCATTGACCACATTGCTGCTGGTCTCTGGACTACATGCTGAGTAACAAGAGTTCAAGGCTCCCCTCAAGGGTCTATACTAACACCCTAAGATCCCTATTGAAATCTAGGGATCCTGGAGGTCACATTATGGTTTAGATGTGAAGTGTCTCCCAAAAGCTCACATGTGAGTCAATGCAAAAATGTTTACAGGTGAAATGATCAGGTTAGGAGAGCCTTAAACTAATCAGTGCAATAATCCCCTGATAGGGATTAACTGAGTGGTGACTCTAGGCAGGAGGGTGTGGCTGGAGGAGGTGGATCATTTGGGGGAGTGCCTTTGGGGTTTATATTTGTCAAGATGAGGAGAGCTCCTTCTCTGCTTCCTGGTGCCACGTCCCCAGGTGCCATACTCTTCCGCCATGTTGTTGTGCCTCACTTCAAGCCCTTAGGAATGAACCCAGTTGTCTATGGACTGAGACCTCTGAAACCGTGAGCCCCCAGAGAAGGTTTTCCTCTTCTAATTATTCTTGTCAAGTCTTCTGATCACACTACCCAAAAAGCTGACTGAAACAGGTTATCACTTCTTTTCTGTTCCTTTCCCTCCATTTCCATGCCTCCTCTCAATCCTATGTTCTCAGCAGACCCATCTTTCCTACCCCCCTAGCTTGCCCCCAGACCCTCCTTCCTACCTTCTCCCCCTGTCCATCATCTCCAGCCTCTTCTTTCCCCACAGGCTCTTCCACGCTTTCTATAACTGGGTCCAGCACTTACTGATCTTTCAGGTAGCCAACCTCATCTTTCTCCTCTGTTTTATAGCCCAATAGTTTTTTTTTAAAAGTGACCTTCTGAGCACTCCCAGGCAGGCTGGCTTCCTCCCCGACCCTCACCCCAGAAGCTGCAGAAGTGACTTCACCTACAGAGTGTCTGGGCTGTGCCCGGCTCTCAGCCTCCATCTCCTGGAGCATCTGTAAGGGTCAACCGACCCTTCCTTCTCAGCAGTGCCTTTCTCTTCTGGGTTCCTGTGGTTTTCTTCTTATCATCTTTCTGCTTAGCCAGCTCCTCTCCCCTTTGGAATCTTTAATCACAGTCAGTTTCTGGCGCTCAGCCCTCAGTCCTCTTTGCCCTTTAATCTCTCTTTAGTCCTGATTCCATCAACCCTATACTCTCAACTGCTCTCTCTCAGAGGAAGGTTCCAAACATCCACCTCCTGCCCAAACTCTACCTCTGCATTCCTAAGTTCCATGGAACAATTTTGCTCAGGAATTCCACCAGCATCCTCAGCCCAACATACCGACAATTATATTTATTCTCTCTGCTTCAAATCATTTCTCCCCCAGAAGTCTCTGTTTCCAAGAGAATACACTGCCCGCCTCACGGCCCCTCCCCTTGCATTCATTGCTGAGTGGCTTTAGGAGAATGACTTATCTTCTCTGGACAATTTACATCTCATTAAATAAGGATAATGGGAGCTATCAGCCTGGGCTATCATGAGGACTCAGTGAGCTAATGTGTGCACAGAATATTTGGTGTGTGCTGGTAATCGCCCCTTCTTCCCTCCTGTCCAGATGATTAAATATGCCTTATCTGTTCTGTCCCTTTAATGCTTAGGTGGTTCATCTTCTTTGGCAAGTGTTTTCTGGAGGTTGGGGACAGGGAATGGAATGCAAAAGAAAATCTAACCATATAACATCTCTCTATGGAAGGCAGAATTTTGCAGAGAATTGCTTAATGGTGACGTCCAAGGCATGTCACTCAGAGTGCTTTGGGGCTGGTGAATACAGAACTATGAATATCGTTATGGAAACCCTGTGTACCGTCCACATGCTCTGCTTTCCAGGGTCCCATTCCAGGGCCTGTGATATAGAATCCCATGTTTGCACCAACTAAAAAGCCTTTGTTTATCAATGCACCTGAACTAGGCACGTTTGCATCCCTGTCTCCTATGCTTCCACACGGCTCATCTTCAATTCCACCACTGTGCCCAGCACAGTGCAGAGCACACAGTGGGCCTCCAAAGACAGCACAGCGCTGTGCACACTGCTACAGATGGAAGAAGGGAGATTCACAGAAGCTGCGATGGGTCACTGCATGCCCACACCTACAGTGGAACACTGACTCCATACGAGCCCCTGGAAGACCAGAGGGGTTCCGGGGGCCACCATTACTGACACCACCCCTTATGGTTTCTGAAAGGTCAAAGAAAGAAAACCAACATTTCATGAAGCATCAGCTTTGGGCTAGGCACTTTCTAAATTCATCTCATTCCCTTTCCAAGGCAACTTTATGAGTTAGGCACTGTTCCCCCAATTTCACACTCAAGGGAAATGAGACTTATAAAGAATTTAGAAAACTTGTTCAAAGCTATATAACCACTGAGCAGTGACAATGACAGGACTTGAATACAGAACTTCAGGGGTCCTAAAAGTTATTCTCTTTCCATCACAGCAAAAAAATATACCATGTTCTTTTTCATACCTCTGTGCCTTTGCATATGCTGTTCCCACCAATCAGAATCTTTCTTTCTCTAGTGTTAGGTAAATTCTTCTGTAAGAACAGGGATGACTGTCCCCTGCATCATTGAAAAGCTAGTTACTCAAACTCAGTGCTCTTTTTTTTTTTTTTTGAGAGGTGAGAAAGAGAGAGGTGAGAGAGAGAGAGAGAGAAAGAGAGAGAGAGAGAGAGAGAGAATTTTTGATATTTATTTTTTAATTTTCTGCAGACACAATATCTTTGTTTGTATGTGGTGCTGAGGATCAAACCCAGGCCGCACGCATGCCAGGCGAGCGCACTACCGCCTGAGCCACATCCCCAGCCCCAAACTCAGTGCTCTTTTACCACATTACGTGTACATGTTTCTCAGCTAACATTTCAATTATTTGATTTTCATGCTAATCTGCAGGTAGGTTTGAACACCAGGAGAGTGAAAATCAAAGTCATTTCTCCATCTACACTGCTTGAGGCATAATGTATATATTCAGTGAATGTTTATTGAATGAACGAATGAATGAACAGATGAAACAAAATCTACAGTTCTTCCAGTATTAATGGTGAGGATTCATTTTTTGCCTATATAACATGAGGGTGGTGGTACCATGAACTTATCTGCTTATCGCTTGGCTCTAACTGCCCAGGGTGGATGGGCCACCATTTTCCTGGCTCCATCTTCATCTTGAGGGTTTCAATAGATGATCACTGACTCTTTCACAAGGCTGGGTGTGCCAGGGTTGACGGAGTGGTGGGCAGTACACTTTCCAAGGAGCCAGGTTTTCTGAGTTTTAATCCCACTCTTCTCTAGATGGATGTGGGACGAGAGCACACACCTCTCTCTGGATCTCAATTTCCCCAAATGGAAAATGAATATTAGAATGGGGGATGACTTCAGTAGGTTTTTTTTTTAACTTTTTATCATCAAGGATCTATTGTATAGTTTTTCTTCTTTATCCTCATGTTTTGGAGATATGTGCTTTATTAATAAAAATAACCACTTAATAAAACACCTTTACAAAGTAAGTGAAAAAAAACCTGATAGGCCAGCAGCCATCTATAAGTCCAGAAAAAGAAAAAAGGCAATGATAATGTGACATAACCAATGCTAAATGCCAAACAGGTAATTCCAGCCCAAAGCAAAGACCCTGCATGCTTCTGTCACCTGTGAGGTTGGGTCTAGATAAAGTCATGGTTCCCTGCAGTCTTCCTGAAATAGTGGAAATAGTCAATTGCCTCCTTTCTAACTTTTAGAGTCCCCGGGGCTCCCCAATCCCCCAAGTAGACACAAATACACTCAGAGATCTGTGATTCTGTCTTATGTGTGCAAGTCCTGCAGAAGGACTGGATTTCTTTCTTGCTGGAATTCAGAGATTCCTAACTAGAAATTTGCACTCAGAAAGGAGAAACAGCCCCTCTCGACTCCAGAAATAGGCAGGGAAACTAAGATGGTAGAAACATAACAGACTTGAACAATGACAGTGCATTTTCAAATGGAAAACATCTACATAAAACAGAAAACCCCAGGGCTACACTTGACTTAGACAGAAGTGGGTATGAGAAACTAACAGACAATTGGTTGGTGCGGGAAATGCATGCTACAGGTTCCCTTACAGGGCATGATGCAAAGTTAACACCGGCTCGATACTTACAAGTAATAGGAGTAGGAATAAGCATTTCTTCTATATATTGATGGGCAGTCAGATGAAGGAAATGTCCAAAAAGGGGGAAAAAGAAAAGACAAACAAAGAAGAATTAGATTTATATGAAATCTTGGTTCTTAGAAATGCACATTTTATTTCAGCATCCCTAAGCTCAAGGAGATGCAGGTTTCTCTACCCATCCTCTTTGCTAAGAATCAGATACTTTCAATGGCAGAAGAAATGAGAGAGGCATCTCCTATGAGAGGAAAACTCACTACCTCATGCAGAGAAAGCCGAGTTTCACGTTGGCTATTTTTGCTGTTTGACAGCTCTTTCTTATGGCCAACTAAAACTAGCTTCCTTGCAATAATGGATTGTTTTTTGGGCCTTGAATCAGCTTTCTGTGGCATCTTGAGACTAGTCTACCATTCTTCCGCATGACAGTGTTCCTATGATCTAAGCCACACCACAATTCACTCTTTGGGTTTTCTTTATTTCAGATGAAAGGGCATGAGAATCTATTTAGGAAGGTCATTCCAAAGCAAGGAAATCATATAGCCAGCATCCAATATGGCTCCCCATGACCCCCACTTTCCAGCACAGACACCTCCCACACAGAAACAGGGTTGGCCTTGTGTGACCATGACCAATGATATCATGTAGGAATTATGTTCTATATGTTCTGGAACTTTCTAAAATAGGTATAAAAGAAGCCTTTCAGTTCTGTCCAAGTCTTTGAAATTCGTTTGGAACCTCGACTCTCCGTGTAAGAAGTTCAACTTCCTGAGGCTGCCATGCTGGAGAGATCACATGGAGAGGCACTGCGATGACATAAAGAGAAAGTAACATCCAGCCAGCCTCTAGCCACTCCATCCCCGGCTGATCAAGTTGCCTATCTGAGAACCTCGACATTGTGGAATGAAACAAAGGTCGTTCCCTTTAAAGACTCCCTAGGTAAAGACTCATGAATGATAAATAAGTGCCATTTTTCAAGTCATTAAATTGAGGGTCATCAAAATTCAACCTAATCATGAACAGGCCCTGTACTAAGAAGAAGGAGTTCCAATTTTCAATCTAACAGACCTTGATTTGAATAACCTCTGTGCCTTTGTGTTCTCATCTATTGTTTAGGTGTGTTGAACTAGATTCGTAGTTTTCAAACGGTGTTCCCAGGATCCCAGGGGTTCTGCAGAGCAGGTTCATTGTATGGGAGGAGGAGCACATGGAGAATGTGGTGCTGTTGCCATCCACAAAAGCTAGAGCATCTCCATTTTTATCTATTTTATAAATTGGAGTTTCATCTAAGATTTCACATAAAGCTCGAAAACTCACTGCCTTCAATTTCTTTCTAATGTCCCTCACTAGCTCTTGGCTTCTGAGCAATCACAGACCTCAAAGAAGTCCATGATATTCCCTTGGTTGTAATTTGCCTGATGTTGTAAGAAAATAAATAGGAATGTTTTTATTTCACATCAGATTTTGATATACTGACCATAAGTGATACATTTGAGGATTGAGGAAAAATTGCTAGAAAATTCAGGTTCCAAAATATCCATCTGAGTAAGCAGGAATAGTTTCCTTTTCTCTTGAATGATTCAATTAATTTCAACCATTATCCCAGGTACTTGTCATCAGAAGATACTGTCTTCATAATCGGGGTAGGAACACATATTCAGAGGCCCCCCAAATTACCATTTCAAGTAATAAGTGACCAAAGCCCTTAAGGCAGGACTATCTCTAGCTTTCTCTCATCCATCAACAAAGCCCAACCCAAGCCCCATAGCTCCAGAATTAAAGTGACTCTGAGAGATAAAAAGACAGAAGCATATTCCTCCTTAGGAGGATAAACTGGGGGATATGAGGCACAGCTCAGCAAGATCTGGCAACCCCCCAAAACTATTCAATATCCTGGACCAAATAAACAGTGGTCCTGGATGATGAGAGAGTGAAAAACTCAGAACTGTAAAGAATGGAAATGGAATAACTCCTGGCAAGTCATCAACCCCCTTCACCAGCCATGCAGCTTGGCACTAAGAAGATCATTCCTTTGCTTCATCACAGCCTGGTCCAGTGCCTAGAAATGTGATTTCCCAAGAATGGAAAGCTCAGGATCCATTTGAGGAAGATTTACAAATATCTCTTGGCATGGTTTGAATGTTCCCCCTGAAACTGATGTGGAAACTTAATCCCCAAATTCATTGTTTATGACATTTGGAAGTAGGGCTTTGGGGAGGCAACTAGGATCAGATAAGAGCTGGGCCCTGGGATGGGACTGGTGGCTGTATAGGAAGAGGAAGAGAGACATGAGCTGACCCATGCTTGCTCTGCTTCACCATGTGATGCCTTCCACCATGTTATGATGCAGCAAGAAGGCTCTCCCCAGATGCCAAGCAGAGGACGGTCCTATGCTCTTGGACTTCCCAGCTTCCAGAACTCTAAGAAGCAAGTTTCTGTTCTTTATAAATTATCCAGTCTCTGGCATTTTGTGATAGCAACAGAAAACAGACAATATGTGTTTTCCATATTCCATATATTGGGCTGAGCACCAAGAGGCCAGTATTCTAATCCCATTGGTTTCTCTTGCTTAGTGTGCCTTCTTGGGTAAATTCATTCCTCTCCTTATACTTCTTTTTCCTGACCCATGCAAGTAGCTGGCAGAGATGACTGACAGGTTGAAAATGTTGAGCAGTTGAAATATGAGATGCCTCAGCGTCTCAGCACCATCATTTACAAGCCACCTTTAGTGACTTGAGCAAGTCACTTAACAGCACAGTCCCAGTTTCTCCATCTCAAGCTTGAGGACAATAGTTAACCAACAGTTATTGGGGCCATCGATATTAGGTAAGTATATTCAAATTAGATATGATATATAATGTATAGTGTTTCATGTAAAATACATTAATTTGAATCAATATCAGGTTATATCACCCTACACATGGAAAATACTAAGGATGGATTAAAGGCATTTTATGTTCCCACCTGATCCTCAGATGTAGGATTTGCTGCACTTACTCTGGTCACCAGGACAAAGGGTTCACCTCTTTAGTAGAAATAAAAATGTGAATACAGTAAGAACAAATACTTAGGCCGCACTTCCTACGTGCCTGGCATTGTTCTGGGCTCTCATCACACACCAACTCACAGGTTCTTTACAACCGCTCTAATGGATAGGTGTCTCATCATTTTCACTTTACAGATGAGGAAACTGAGGCAAGAAGGTGAAGTCACTGGCTGAAGGGCCACAGCCAGTGACTGCCATCGACAGCACCCTGGCTCTGACGCCCACGCTCTCACCCACTGTGCTTCTTTCCAGGAAGCAGGGAAACAGGAGCAACAGCGATGTAGGCATGGAGATGCACAGACCTAATCTCTTAACTCTCCCCACAACCCTGCAGAGCGGATGTTATTCTCGCCTTTAGTTGAGGAATCTGAGGCTCTAAGAGGCCTCACTAGGTCAAAGGTTTTATGGATCTTTGGAACAGCAGCAAAGCTTCCATCCCCAGGTGGATTTTCTCACTGCCCAAGCCCCCTCCTAAAGGCACGCAGGCTGCACTCTGAACTCTGGCCCTCTGGGTTTTCTGCTCTCCACCTCTAACATTCACCAGTGCCTGGGCCACCTCCTCCAGACAACATGTTCCCCTCACCTTCAAACCATAACCACCGCTTCCAAGTAGCTTTTCTGAGTGATCCTGGGTGTCACCCAAAGCCAGCATTTTCCCTGGCTTCAAAGAAACTCCAGGATGATGGAACAGACAGGCTTTTATTAATTGAATCTCTTTTCCCAATTAACCTTCCCATCCTCCCAGGGCAAGCATCATAGGTCTTCACTCTGTGACCAGAACACAGTTTACATGTATGTTTTCTCTAAGCCTTGAAGAAGATTTACTGAGGGTCTAAATTTACAGGGATACAGCGATATTGCTAGTAACAGATTGCCTGAAACTAAAACTCCCGAGCAGGAGGACAGCTGTGCTAAGGAAAAAATAAAAATAAAACAATAACCCTAAACTTAATAAATCATATATTGCAGACTCTTCTTCTTTTTGGCTGGCTGACAAGATTGCCTTTAGGCACAGTTTACCTGTGTTCCATACCATTTTCACAGGACCATGTTGTCTATTTAAAAACACACTTGACCATCTACCCATCCATCTATTTGTAAGTCCATTCATCTATGCATCTCATAAGCCCATCCATCCATCCATCTATCCATTCATCTATCCTTCCTTCTATTCACCTATTCATCCATTATAGAAGTCCATTCAGTCATCTGTCCATACATTATTTTACCTGCTCATCCATCCAACAATCCATCTACCATCCATGCATCCGTCTTTCCATCAATTAATTCAGCAAAAACCTCCTGTGTGCCTGTCTCCCCCAAGTGCTAGAGATAGACAAATGAGATCCTGATCTAGCCCACTTATCTAGGAGAAAAAAAATCATGAAACTGATGATAATAATGGCTATTACTTAAATAGTAGGCTATCACTTATATTCCAGGTACTGTTCTAACTAAATGAGGTGGACTATTTTATTTAATCTCCACAGTAACCCTATGAAATTTATTGTTCCTCTTTAACAGACAAGGAAAGCAAGGTTAAATAACTTGTCCAAACTGGCATGGTTGGAAAGTGCCATGACAGGTGTTAGAATCCAGGAAAATCTTACTTAGGAGACTGTGTTATTCACTGCTATGTTATACTGACTTCAGTGATGACAAATGATGTGGAGTCACAGAGACCATACCTGAAGGCAGGTGTGGGGAGGAAATGCAGGCAGGGTGGGCCAGAATTTGTGATACTTATATAAGAAAGAAAAAAGGAAACCAGATGGGGGAGGGGAAGGGTATTCTTAGGCAGACAGAACTGTTTTGTGGACAGGGTGGGTAGGCTAGCCAGGAAGGAATGCCAAGATGTTAGAAAGGCTAGTCCCCCCAAAAGCTTAAGGAGTTTGGTCTCAGTCCTACAGATCACAGGGAAAACTCAAGAAACCAAGTAATCAAATACTTGTTCTAGAAGGATGAGTCTGGCAAGAGT